TGTTCATTTAATACTGTGGCTCTTTATGGAAATTGTATCCTTTCTGGATTCCTTCCATAGAAAGACCTACCAGACACCAGAAAACAGTTGCACTGTGTTTTTTTCCGATCAAGATAAGGATCACTTTTTCTTTTTATGTGGAAAATGCTCTGCTTGGAGCGCTTTCTGGTGAGGAGAAATTATCATAACATCCTGCTTCAAAAGACTGATGTTTACCTGTTGCTCCACTGTATCTGATACCACCACTTAGTTAGCTACAAATGCTGATTTATGTCAAATCCTTCAACAAGTAGTCTCCACTATCAAATTCTTTATGTTTGTTACCTACCCTTCATCGTGATTGGATGAATGAGAATGTTTCTCAGCACTTTCTGAGCGCCATGTATAACCTTCTCTTTGATTTTTGTGAAAACACCTGTTGACATCTGAAAGTTAAAGACAGTTAGGGTTGGAAATGATTGTGTTGTCAAAATCAAAACCACTGGCTGTTTAAACCAAAAATAGTTCTTTGGGTGACCCTTACTTAAAAACTGTGTCAGTTAGTGTCAGACAGTTAACCCCTAGTTGCTCCAGAGGCGTGTGTCAGTCAAATGAATAAAAGTAATGGAAGGAGAGCGCACCATAAGCAAAAGCTCAGGTGGCCTATTATCTCTGCAACTTTAGTGGTTTTATTCTCTGCTATTTTCCCTTTGACTGTAATAAAAAAAGATATACAAAATAATGTTAAATGCTTATATCTCACCCTACTGCTCTCTCCCAATTTTAATTACTAGAAAGGTTGTCTGTTATATTATGTATGTACAATATGACGCTTAAAGTAACATGGTAGGTTTGTTTTTAACAAACTACAAGGTTTGTACCTTCTAATTTTCCTATAACTGGCAGACAGAGACTTTGTTTGTGTGCTCCACATCCTCCACTCAGTGTTTCTCCCTCTCTCTTCCCTCTACCATCCCCAGCTCACAGCAGCAAACAGAGTTGTACGCAAATGCTAAAAGCCATAATGCATTATATTGTTTGGTGTTAACATTTGAATATTTAAATGGTGTGTTTTAGATCTAGATTACCCATTTCATTTTCCACATACTGTACTTGTTGAACGCAGGTTGTCGGGTTGAAGACTTTGTCAGCATATTTGCATCTTTTCTACACAATATAGGTTTGACACACCATCATTTTCATGATTATGTTCTTGCTTCATACATACCTGTTAACAATGCAAGTTACCTATGTTTAATAAATGACGTCTGTATGTGGCCTGTAGGACATCCACACAGATGAATATGTGAATCACCCACGTACATGCCACTTAACCAAATTGGCAAAGCTGATAAGCCATATTTACATAGTGATGTTGCCAGGCGTGATTACTATCTGTAAAACTTCCCCCCCCCCCATGCTTTAATGGAAAGTTGGGATATAACTTAGTGTGGGTTACAGCTGCCCTCAGGAAAATAGCTCAATTACACCCGTGGATATAAACACTCATGTGGCTGTCAGAGTGGTAAACAGATGTGGGGTGACAGTCTGTAGTACATGATCAGTCAAGCAGCTGTTGCTGTACCTCCATTCATTCACTTGTTCTCATGATGGATTCCAATTTCTCCCCCCACAGCTCAACATGCAGCCACACTATTTGCTTATGGGGCAGTGGCAGTAGGCAGATTAAGCTGCTGAGAATAACATTAACATGTTCCCTGTGTAAAGCTAATGCCTGCTGCACTTTAACTGCCGCTGTCAAACACAACAATCAGTTTGCGTGAAGTGGACATCACGGATGGACAGGGTGTGTCTTTAGTCCCGGTCTCTATGTACAGGCCTCTCTGTTCTGATGCAGGGCAGTTCCGAAAATGACACTGAGTTACTAACTTCTTTCCAAACTGAAAAAACACTACATAAGAGCTTTCAGAATGATGTCATATGATGTTATTTTGACTTGGCGCACTGTGCATTTGTACTCACACAGTGTATTGAAAAGGACATTCCCTTTGGCTGTTGTCTCATTGGGAGCCTACCTGTCACGCGGCTGATGTGACGCTCTTTGAATGTAGTGTGTGCATGTGATCAGAGCTGCAGCAGGCATCCCAGATGACAAAGTGACTAGGGGTGTCAAAGCAGCCTACAAACAGGGCTGTCCTCTTCCAGACAGGAAGCTGGGAGCAGCAGAGGCGCTGCCTTGTCTCATCTGCCAGCAGCGCTCGCTGCCTCCCTGCCTCATCACAGCAACCATGTCTGATGGTGTGCACAACTCCATGCTGGACGGCTGTTTTGATTTCAGCCTGTGTGACACATCTGTTGCTTGTCACGTTGTGTTGTGCCTGTCTAAGAGCTGAGCGCGACCGGCAAATGTGCCTCTCATCCTTCTGTCCGTGTTTACAAACAGGGCTCGGGCTTACAAACAGGCCAGCATGGTACACATCATGTGGAAGGTCAGGAGGCCTTATTAGACACTGCATGCACCTGATTCACTGGTGTCACAAGCCATGAATTGTGCTGCAGATGTGTGGTGTGTTTGGATTCAAAGTGAGTGCTCTGCATTAAAAGATGCATTATCTTAAGTAAAAGTCAAAAGTAATTGCAGTGTTGATTGTACATAACAGGAAAGGGAAAGAGGTGTCTTGGTCACTTTATTATCATTTAAGTATTCCCCATCATTGTACACTGTCTACTGAAAATACATTGTTTCCCTCCCATGTCTAACTGAGAAAATTTGCTACAGCTGTAAATCAAATCTCCATCTAGGGTGTATTCCTCACAATGTGCTCTTCATGGTCTTCTAAAGTACTTTGCAAGAGCATTTCAAAAAACTTGCAAAATCAAGGATATTCTCTGCAAGACTCCCACTGTCAGTTTAAATGCATGAGCAATGACCATGGTAATTGGATCCATCCAATCCATCCATCTATGAAGTACGCATGCTATATCAGCGAAAATCAAACGACATTGTTTCACTCAATGTAAGGCTAGACCAGCACTAAAGAGCCAGAAAGGTATTTATTAATGGGATGTTACAGTAGCTTAGGAGGGGTGCATTCACAAGTGGTTCATTTCTATGTCCTTGTCTTTCCAATCAATATTCAAAAGTGCCTCGTAATTACACATTTAGGATTCATTTACATGCAAAGTGACCAGTGTGGTCATAAATTGCAGTGAAAAAGTTCTATCTCAGAGATTTTTTTCTTACTCTTTGCTATTTTTATAATTTATTTTATTATTGTTGTTAATATTTAAAAACATTTTGATGAACACAACTATTTCATTCTAAATAATACAACAAAATACAGCAAAATCAGAAAAATGAGGTTTTGTCTACATGACCAATTTGCATGAGTACCAAACCCCAGCCTGGTATGTAAATGCAATCCCTCTTGAGAGGGTGGGGAAAAATTTGAGATGGCTCATTTACATTGTCAAATGACACAACACTCATACTTTCCATTTACTATCAAACTGTTTTGCAGAAACACTAACCTGGAAACAATCTGTGTGTGTAGTTACTCACGAGAAAATCAATGTAACAATACGTCTGTAAGACATACTGTAATCGGGTTGGATGGTGTTCAACATGATCGAAAACCGTGACTGCCATTTTGACCGGCCTCGTCAGACCACAAGACAACGCGTAGGAGTTCTGGCACGGCAGGGAGGCACAGCGCTGCTATGTGGCTCTAATATATTCAAAGGGGGATCATTTACTTAAGGCTTGCATCCAAGGATCAGTCTGGCCTTCATTAGCCTCAATCTGACACGGATGTGAACAACATGTTGGCTTGCCACATGAACACTGCCCCTCCTCCCTCCAAACCCCCAACACTCAACTCCCCTCCCTTCTCTGAGACCTGCACAGCAAATTCCTCTGGAAATATCACAGGTTGTTAGCATTCCAGAGAGAATTTTACATGGGTGTACACTCAGGCCTTAATTAGAGACACTATTTGATCATTCAGCAGCTGGGCTTTATTAAAAATACGGGTTCACATCAGCCTAGAGCCCTCACCCCTGGCTCAATGTGAAAGCGCTCACAGAGGCAGAAGAGTCTATGAAACAAGATTATGAATATTCATTGCTTGATGGAGAGGGTCCCTGTACGAGAAATCCCTAGTAAAGCAGTATTTACACTCTGTTTAGAACAATATTTTATTTTACTGGAACATTTCATCACGTGTCACCCACCTCTAAGATGAAGAAGGTGGATGGATTTTGAGTGTTGTTTTTTTCATTTGTACCACTTTCATTTTGAAAAAGAGAAATAACTACAGTGAGGAGTCTATATAAAAATACATTTTAAATAAGTAATACATTTTTAACATATATTTAAATAATACAAATCTGCACCCTCAGTCAAAACACAACCTTTTACAGAAGTCTACTGAAAGCCTCAACCTAAATGTCAGCACAGAACCTGAGCTACATTGGCCTGAAAAGAACCGAAGAGATGTAAACTATATCTGACCAAGGTCGACAGGGACTATAAAACAAACACCAGGTTTAAGGTGAAGTCTTCCCTGCGTGAAGGTTAGCCATGTTTTGTGTTTACACTACACTGCAGGCTTTGAAATTGTTTTGCAGTGTGGAGCCTGCCCAGGGTCATTGTTTGTTTTTGACGTGTTTATACACCACACAAAGAGTAATGACTTCTAGGATAGTCTGGGGATGCAGACATGATCCAGCACACTATTTGCAATTTTCTTTACTTTTAGTAAACTTTCATCAGTCAACACTGAGAGGACTCTGCCTAGGCCTCGTCATTGTCCTTATGTTCAGCATCATTCAAAGTGATGTAAATATGCAACTGCATCAGGAAATGAGGAAATCAGTTACTATGCAAAACCTTTCTTATCATTTTGTGTCACTCAAGCTTGCAACAATTTCCATATAATGCTCTTATTTGACAAGACATAAAAAAACAGTTTGTCCAAAGTTTGAAATTAACAATGCAAAGCTAATACACAAGTAGCGTTCCTGTGTTAACTGACTGGTGCAGATGTGCAAGTACTTACTTTGCTCTCTGGCTCCACAGGATGTCACCAACGGAGTCTCCTGACTGGACCGGCAAGCAGCAGACAGAAGGGGAGGAGAGAAGAAGAGGTGAGGAGATAGGAAGGAAAGTCAGGGAGCGGGGGTGGTGGAAAGGAAAAAAAACAGTGGAAATTATTTCAAACGTGAGGGTGACTAACAAAATACAAACACACTCACCTTATTAAATAGTGATAGTGGAGTCACCTCAGATGCTATTTTATGTGTGCGTGCGTGTGTGTGAGTGTGCACACACGAGTGGAGCATGAGAGCAATGACACACAAAACAGGTCACTTTCAAATTAATATTCATTCAGGCAGAATTAAATGGGTTTCACAGTGACCCCCCCCAAATGTCCGTGGACACATATTTAGCATCTCAACTGAGAACTCTCTTGATTAAACAAATAATGACACATTACAAAAACTGCTAATGATTCTAAATTAATTTGAGCAATGCACTAATTGTATTTAAACATTGCCCTACCTAACCTTAGAGCAACCACTTTTTAATTATGGCTTCTGGAGACATTTTATTCATATATATATATATATATGGTATATAGGATATTTAAATGCCCTTTTCAAATCACATTAGCACTCAGCTTCTCACAGTTCAGCTTTGTCATGCAGTCCCATCGCCCCATACCTTTTGCCTTAAATCCTTCCCTCCGTTTGCAAACACAGAGGGAAGAAACAGCAAAATGTGTTTCCTGAAAGGGCGGAGAGGTGGAAAAAGCCCATCCTGCCCTGAGATTCGCAGCCGCCCCACCAGCCACTGGCCTTTCTGCAGAGGCAGCAAAAGTTCCCCGAGAGGGGAGTGTCTGCCAACTCAAACAGGGCTCATTCTCCTCTCTGTGGGCCACCAGCCGTCCATGTGGGCCTGTGCTGCGCTTCCTGAGGGCTCGCTGCAGCTGGAGCACTTTGAATAAAGGTAACAGCAATGTCACAGCTACTGTAAACTTGCTAGGCTGCTCCTGTCAGCAGGACGTTCCCAATCAAAGCAGAAACAACCCCACCTAAAACACAACTAAGTCCAAACTTCCCACGAATCACAAAGAGAGCACACAGGCGAGAGGGCAACCACTGTTCCCTGATCTTGCCAAACAAAATGCCAAGAGACCGGGAGTGACATTCAGCTCTGGGGTTTAAAAATATGAGCAATTTGAAAATGATTAGAGTCTTATTTTATTGTTGAGCGACTGACACAGGAGAGGAAACCAGAACAATCAAGCCGTCTGTCTTTTTTTTCCTGCTGAATTTAGAAACACTAATTAGTTTTGCTCTCGTAAAGCCAACCTGAAAACGACCAATTAGAAAGTGAAAATGAGACGTGCAGAGGAAACAAGAGCTTGTCATTTCCACTGTTTAAGTCCCATATGCACAACTTTACTGCGATGACTTTCACACACACACACACACACACACACACACACCGGAGATGTGTGCGAAAGCATGCCGCCCACTAAACCTGGTGCCACGTAGACATTCTGACCTGTTAATGGCACTTTTACATTAAATAGCATTTTGTTTAGTTAGAGGGAAGCTATTACAGATCTGTATGGCCACATCAAACCCAGGCTGAGCAGCTTGGCCATGCAGATGTCCGAAGCACTAGTCTGGGGAGAGGATACAGCCTATCAGACTGACCGCAGCACCAGCTGGTTTCAGCTATACACCTACCAGGGCCAAACTGTTTCCCCCTCACAGGTGCCTTATTTCTATGAATTTCATCTTTTAAGGGTACTGGAATAATTCCTCTGCATGTAAACTTGTTTCATACAAACCGGCCAGTACCTTCATGTAATTATATTTCAGACAGATACAGTATATTTCACCAGCCGAGTGGAGTTGGTTAATGTTTAGCCAGTCATTAGAAAAGGCCGTAAAACTTGTGGAAATTATCTTCAGGAATTTTACTGCTATTCCCTGAGCAAACAGTGGCAAGTGTTTCATCACTGTCGGGCTGAAGACGGATGGGCTGTCAGTGCCTTCCCCTGTCCAGGATCCAGCTCCTGGGCTGGGAAGTGGCTAAAAAAGGCCGGGGCTACGCTTTCCAGGCCTGCGCCTTTTACTGGGAGTAATTCTCAGATGCCAGGTCGCTGCCAACGTCCTTGCAGCCAATGGCAGAGAGGCCAGTAAGTTCACATTAACTGCAGAGTGTAACTGCGCTGAACATCTGCTCATGAATGAGAGCGCTGCCCACTAACTCAGCGAGTTGAGGCCCACTGATGAAAAATTCAACATTCTCCTGGCTGGCACGCTTGTTTGGCACAATTCTCCTGAGCCCCCAGAATTATATTAAGAGAATTTCAGCCCGGCCTGGTGTATCTGAGAGAACAGCTGGCACTGAAAAGGGATCTGCCGCTCAGCAAGAGCTCAGGGACCTCACACGGGATCTGCCTTCTCCTACACCATTCGTCCTTGAAGGAAAAAAATATCAGTGTTAAGCACCCAGGTAATAATAAGAAAGCAGAGGCTACACTTAGCAGATTACACCACCCACGTGTGCTACAGTGGATGGAGCATAACCAATGAAGGCATGAATCGATATGGAGTGGAAAGGAGAAGACACAGAGGCAATTGTGACAATAAGTAGCTCCCTCAGGAGACCTATTCACTGTACCTCTCCTTTGTTTGGCTTGTTTAGCTCATTAGATTGTTAACTAGGAAGGATCTGCCCCCAACCCCAAAATATGGAATCAGTCTAAGCAGAAACAGAAGCAGTCTGATCAGGGGGGCGACTACATCAAAGACTTTGGAAAGTATGAAGGCAGTCCCACAATTCTGTCCTTCAATTGCTGCAATTATGTGCCTCATTAGTTTATGATATTACTGGAGGGACAAAATGGACAAAACATATCATTAACTTATAGCCAAAGAAAGCAAATTTTACCATAAGATAAAAATCAGAAAACCCAATGTGTACAGTGACATGAACTGACAAACTATTTCCTCTAAAAATGATGAAATAGCTTCTCAGTTTAAAAATGTTAAATTTAAGGAAGTGATGCCTCCTAGCAAACACTAAGAATAAAAGATTACCACACACAGTAATTTCACTTCTGTCTTCCCCTGAAATACAGTTAACAGATTTCTATATGTCAGCACAGAACCTGAGCAAATCTATCAAACTTTTATCTCATTGTTGTTATTCTAGGTTTCTTGTTCTTTTGTACAGTGCACTAAACCATGTGGCAATCATGGCAACAGCCCAAAAAGAGGTCTGTGAATTTAATGTTGCCATTGAAAACCAAGAGGATGTCTGCAGAAAAGCTAATTTAGCTGGTGACAAATGACAGCACTTTGTCTTCCTGACAAGATCCCTCCTTCATCAAATGTCCAACTTCACATGGAAATAGGAAATCACACATTATCACACTGACAAACAATTACAACCATGTCATTAGCAGCAACCCTGGGCCTGGAACCATTAACAAAACACAATGTTGCACACCATGCTAACCATCAGAAGAAACACAGGATGGAGAGCAACAGACACTGATAAATCGATCACGACACAAACAACCTGATGCTTATAGTTTGGGAAGGATCTAAATGAGGGTGATAGCAGTTCTTTGTGCCAACTAAATAAATCACAAAATAATCTCAAGCAATCAAAAGTTCCTCATCTCTGAATAAAGATTTATGTCTACGTTGATGACAGAGCAGTGCTTGCCTTTTATTAAAAGTCAACACTTTAGAGTAGTTTCTCTCTAAGTGACTTAATCAGATACAGAGCATTAGTATCTTTTTTAATACATCTCCCAGTGTCAGCCCGCAAATGAAAAAGCTAGCCTCTGTAAATATGACTGCTTACTTCTAACACAAACATTGTTGACACCTAATGTAATTTCAGCGGGACATCCAACTGAAAGCACACCGGGGTAATATAATGCTCTTAATGAGAATTCCTTCCAGCTTGAGACCTTGGCGAGATAGCCATAATGCATGGCTTCTCTTTTTAATAAAATAATTGTTACAGTTATTAAAGATGAATCTCATCACAGTCTAGATGACAAAATAATTCATTACCAAACCAAGGCTTTAAATAGCTGCAAATTATAAAGTCCCACCCCCCTCCCACCCCTTGAAAATACACTTCCAGATGAATGGGTTCGTTATTTCATATAAATATTAGATAAATGCTGCCCTTGAAAGGAAAGAAATATTGCAACTGTCCATTAAGTAGTTTGTAGACACACAATGCACATTAAAGCAATACAGAAAAATCTATCAACAAACAATAAATATTCAAAACTAAAATGATTTTGGTTTTATATCCTTACATCACAAGTTTTTCTAGTTAACTCATAGTACTGTGGCTGCATAATCTATCATTTATTCCATTTCCTCTAATTATGTCCTTTTTTTGTATTATTAGATACATTTAATAACTTTTAACACTGTCATTATTAAATAACTAAAACTAAACGATTCTGCAGTAAATTTAACAAAACAACGCCGGTCTGTAACTGCCTATATGATGTTGCATATATTCCAGTTCAAAAGTTCCTCCTCACAGGATCTCCATATGTGGAACAGAGAAAGCGCTGGAACACATGTTTGTACAAACTTCAACCAATCCCCCACCCCTTTCCCGTTCACAGCTCTCTTGTAGCTTTATTTATGTATTCAAAAGAGATAATTTACAGTGATGGCATGGAAACTTCCCAGCATGCCTTTTAACCTGTCGTTTTTCACTCTCTCCGCAGCAGGATGTCCAGAGGAAATGCTTTATTAAGATCCTGCCGACATGAAGAGCTGCTGTGACTTACTGGTGCATTACTGTCTAAAAGGCAAAGTTATTTAGACCAATAAAAGGCTAATATATTGTTGGAGTGGAATTACACAGAAGTTATCTCTGCCTTAATAACATCACCGCAACCCCTGATGTTGTTTAGATCAATAAAGCCCATTAAAGTACAGACCTCAAGCGCAGATAAGACTGCACTGCCACAGCAAAATACTGCTCGCTGGGATCCGAGAGAGCAGAGGTCTTTCTCTGGCAAACAAAAAGTGGCCAAA